CTCTGCACAACCTAGTGAATGTATTCCTATGCAAGCAGCTTAGCTTCTCTGGAACAGGGTCTTGAAAAATGGGAGTAATGACTAGCAGCAATTGTTTATGTTTATTTCCCTTCTTTGAAGAAATTGAGTGATTGCCAGTAATGAAAGGCAGATCTTTGGTTAACACACACTTGCTGTAAATTACTATGGTCTTTTCTCACTTTCCCACCTTGAAGGAACTGAGCTTCTGGATAGCTCACATGAAATTAAACTGCTACTGCTGCTGTTTTCTGTCTCCTACCACCTAACTCTTCATTATTTGCTGGAGGGTCTTGACCTGTCATATGAAGATTACAGCTCTATAGAAACGAGCTAAGAGTCATTGTGATGATTAAAATCACACTCACAAGCATCTGAAATGTTTGTTTCTTTCACTGAACTATACAAATTTTAAAACATCCCTACACACACACACATATGTAAATATTTCAGGCAGGTGTAGTAATTTTAGATCAATTATCACTTCCCATTATAACAAGCCTTAGAACTGCCAAACAAAATCATTACAGCTTTGCTTTTACAAGCCATATGTCTCTCTCCTGATGCTGGCTATTTTGTCTATCCAGGATTTGAAATTCTGACAGAATTCTGGCAACCACTCTATTTAGAAAGTTTAAGTTTGAAATATAACAGGAAATTTTGTGAAGAGTCTTTCATGGGTCACAACAATCCCATACAATGCTATGGGAAAAGTAGCTGGGAAGCTGCCCAGCAGAAAAGGACCTGGGGGTGTTGGTCAGCAGTCGGCTAAATATGAGCTGGCAGTGTGCCCAGGTGGCCAAGGAAGCCAATAGTGTCCTGTCTTGTATTAGCAATAGTGTGGCCAGCAGGGACAGGGAAGTGATCATCCCATACACTCAACACTGGGGAGGCTGCACCTGTGTCCAGTTTTGGGCTCCTCACTACAAGAAAGACATGGAGGTGCTGGAGTGTCTCCAAAGAAGGGCAGCGAAGCTGGTGAAGGGTCTAGAGCACAAGTCCTGTGAGAACCAGCTGAGGTAAAGGGAGTTGTTTAGTCTGGAGAAAAGCAAGCTGAAGGGAGACCTTATTGCTCTGGTGGATGTCTGTCTCTTCTCCCAAGTAACAAATGACAGGACAAGTTGAAACAGCCTCAAATTTCTCCGGGAGAGGTTTAGAATGGAAATTAGGAAACGATTACTCATTGAAAGGGTTGTCAAGCACCTGAACAAGCTGTCCAGGGAAGCTTGTTGAGACACTATCCCTGGAGGTATTTAAAAGACATGCAGATGTGACACTTAGGGATGTGGTTTTGTGGTGGACTTGGTAGCATTAGGTTTACAGTTGGAGATCACAAACTTTAAGGTCTTTTCCAACTTAAATGATTCTATGATTTTATGATTTAAGGTTTGTTACTTGTTCTGTGTTCTTAAATATCCCCTTTTACAATCTTTAGAGCTGTGAAGGAGAAATGCACCCTAGTGTAACTCAAATGTTCTGGAGATTCAGTATTTACTTGATGCTAAAAAACACAGGAGTATGTCATTTTCCTTTAGGACTTGTCCAAAGAGAGTCTGGCAAAATGTCAGACTATTAGTTCAAGTACAGAGGTCAGTGCAATGAATTTTCAGATTCCGAGTTGATTGATGACCCAAATGGGTGATATTGGTCTTGTGCAACAGTATGTCTCTTTTTCCATTTTTTTAATTACCATGAGATTTGTAATGTTTATACTGTGCACTGAAGGAGGCAAAGATCTTGAGGAGACAAAAGTAGGCAACCATGAAGTCACAGACTACACCAAACTGTGCAGAGAGCTAAATTGATCCCATTTATTTTATGTCTTTGAAACTTCTGCAGGGCAGGGGGGTGGGGAAGATATTTCATTTACCTGCACCTCAGTTTATGAAAGCACTAATAAGTAGTTTTTAAATGGTTTGAGGGCCTGGGAGTGTTAGTAATTTTGCTGGAATCTCTTCCTTTATATAGTTTCTCCAAACATTGAAAACAAGATCAAACATGTGAACAGTCTATGGGTTATTCTCATCCCAAATGTTTGGTTTGCTTTTCCTTTTTTTACAGTATGTTAACTTACAGGGAACAAGGAAGATCACAGGAGTTGAAATGGAATATACGGACTTCCGCTTCTGCCTACCTGCATTATGTCCATCCTATGTTGGCAACAATCATGAAGTGTTAGCTTTATAATGCAGTTATGCGGAACATATATAGTGGTTTCTCTTCTTTTCACAGAAGACAAAAAATGCTTCCCTTAACAGTCTTGTTGTTTGGAACTACAGACTGTTTGGAAATAAAGACTGACAGATTTTTCTCATCCTATAAATACACATCCAAGTTTCTGCTAAGACCTTGTGGTTGAATAATGTAGGATATAGGCCTCTACTGTAAATGTATAGCAAAGCTGTCAGGGGTGGGGTTGATTGAGTTTATAAGACTCCAGTTTGCAAACTGAACAATTTAGCACTTTTCCTTAGTGCCAATTTAATGCTTAAGAAAAGAAAAATATTTAGGCTTAACCAGTTTACAACCAAGCCATTGCTGCCCCCAGGTGTCCAGCAGTCACTGACACATGAGCTGGGATGCAACTATAGGATCTTTAACAGGCAGAGATGGAACATGTAATCTGGTAGTGAGATAACATGAGTATCTGAGCTTCATTCTTATTTCCAAGTCACAAAAATCAGCAGAACCTTTCCACTGAGTTAGCTCTAGGGGATGAATAGTCGTTATTTAACCTACTCCCGCAGTTCTATTTAAGTGATCTGAGTTGCTGACCGCTTCCAGTCTTTAAATAGGTAGAGCAACTAGTAACAGTGTCTTCAAGTATCGCCTGTATACAAAATCTCAATTAGTTTTCATAATGAACCTGAAAAGGCTGCTTTGTTCCATTGTTTGGATTATTCAGGGCAAAGGACCAGCTTAGATGCTAAAATTTTGACTCATTTTTAGTTCCTTTTAATCCATTATTCAGTTTACAACTTTCTATGTAAATTCTGAGAAAATTCATTCAGAATTCAGTTCATAAGTGCTAAACATTTGCGGAAGATATGACAAATTCCATATATTTAACACAGAACTTGAATCTCAACCTTATAAACAAAACTGAACTCAATCAAAGCTCCGTGTCTTTGTAATGGATTATGCCCAAAGTCCAGATTTTTTTTCCTGCATGGTATTCAACAAGGAAAGACAATTGTTTAAAAACATTATAGGGCTTCAGTGTTTCATAAAACCCTAAATCCTAACATGGGTCTGCACCCAAAACTCACTCAGTGGGATACCGCTTACATCATGAAAGCTAAAATCTGAAAACTCATAGTAGATCAAAAATTTCCATCTCTCATTGGAAACAAAATACAGGAACACATCAAAAGATTATTAATAAATAGACCGACTTTATATATATCACTAAAAATCCTAAAATATGTCATAGAAGGGAAATTCCCCCTGAAGTGGATATTAAGCTAATCCATCTAGGCAGGTTTTCTAAATGTTCAGCCAGTCTTGGAAAATATTATAGGCAACTACCACTGGAGTATTTTCTTAGCTAAAAGTAAATGTTTCTAGTTCAGTCAGATTGCTACTACTTACAAGTAAGTTTATCGGCATTTAAAATTTTAATTAATATGAAGGTCATCCTAGTCATGAAAGATGGCAAATGAGTGTGTAGGTAAACAGAAGTGCTTCTCCTCTTTGTCTCATGTAAGGATCTATGAAATGGTTTGTCCTGCAGAAATACTCATATTAAGAAATATGATTATAAGACATCTTTTATACTTAATGTGAAGCTTTAGACTCCTTGAAAAATAAAATTCACTGAGACCCTTCGAGGGCAGAAAAGCAAACAGCTTTGGTCCTCCAGAAAAACATCTTGGTTGAGCATATTTTTAAATGAAGGAACTTCTAGTATCAGTAAAATCAAATTATGTAATGTGCAGAAAGTTGATTTGTGGTGTGGATTCTTCTCTTTCTTTGCATTTTTGCTTGCAGAATCAAGGGAGTTCAGTCATTCAATTAATTTCATAAAAATCTGTCATTCTTTGTCCTTTGTCATTCCTCCTTTAAGCTAAAAGTGTTGGTAATAGTTGGTAGATTCATAGGTACTACAAGTTTTAGAACAACACAGATGTGTTAATAGTACAGAAAGATTTTTCTTACCCATCTTGTTTTTATCTTTCAGTTTAATTCAGTATCTAATAAACAGGTATGAACATGGTTATGCTATCATGGTTAATAGAAGAAGCAAAAATTATTGTTAAAAACAGGGATAATTGCACTTTATTTATAGATAGCAGATAAATATCTTTAGGCCATGTTTACTTCTGTCAGAACAATCATTGCATCACCCTGGTTACACAAGGACTACATTTATACACTTGGCACTCAAGTTACTGAAGAAATTTGAATACCTGTGAAATGCAGATCTTAAGAACATTATGACTTGTTGTGGTAAGGCATTAGCTGTCTTTTTCTACCTCCCAAGCCACAGACATGTGGCACTCGGATCACAGCTAACCCTTGCAGGAGGTTAAAACCTTCGCGGGAACAAAAGCACAGACACCAATACGATGGTTGCTGCTTGTTCAACTTATTAACTGCGCAATTGCTTTATATAAGCTCCTTAAAGGGACCCACCTTAAGCATGGCAGTGTTTTGGTAACATTCTTCTTTGGCATGATTGATTGATTCTCTATTTTTCCCGTACATCCCGAGGTTTTCTGAGCGCCTCTCCCTACACTTCCCCCTCCCCATGCTATATAGCTATATTTGTAATAATTGAAGTGCTTGTTGTTCTATTTCTTCATACGTAGGGTTTTTTACTCCATTCCCTTTTTCCTTTGCTTTCTCTTCATTCTTTTCCTGTATTCACCACAGCTGCTGCATGCTTCTCTGTAGTGCTTGCCCATACGTTGGGTCTGGGCGGGATGGTTTGTCTAGCGAAAGATCCAAGTAGCCAAAAGCCACAGAAAATCTGCAAAAACTTTTAAGAAGAAATGGTTATTTCAGGTTTTATACATTGTGCAGGTATCCATTTAATTAAGCCATCTTTTTCCACTGCTGCGTACCCACGCCCAAACACTCTCAGCGACCAGCCTGATTCCCATGCTCCCGGTTCCATTATCTGAACCAAAGAATGTGGTTTTTTGCCTGGGTTGGCATAAAGTGTTTCCACAGGGGACATGTGGACTCATTGCCTCTAACAAAATCATTTAAAGCATAAAGGGCACGGGACAAAAGAGTCTGCTGTCGGTGTATGGATATGTCCCCTTATGACCTTCCCCCTCCCCAAGCTGTTGTAGTTTTTCTTTTAGGGTGCGATGCGCACGTTCCACTATTGCTTGCGCTTTTGCCCTTCATGATTGGTACCGGCATGGTGTCCATGCGCTTCCTCCTGCTGGGCAAACATCTTGCTTTCAACAGTACAGCTTTCTTATCTTTTGCTACACACACTGTTTGTCAGCCCCTTGGCTTTGCAGGTGTTCTTCACAACAGGTACAGCCTGTTGCTACAGTGATGCCACTTGGTCTGGATCGCTCATAATATGTCTGTTGGTGTTTTTTTAACCAGTTCACGAATCCCTCTTTTGGTTTTGAGCAATCTACACTCCTTTTATTGTTCAGTCCATCATTTTCATAAAACACTTCCCCACACAGCTATAACATCACGAAAAGATTACAATGACAATTAAAACAGTTATTCCATACAAAACCAAATTCTTTACCCATCTAGTAATTGGTAACCTTTTAGATGAATCATTATTAAATATTCTTTCTTCTTTGAGATGTAAACCTATCATGTAAGCATCACTACAAAACCAAGTGTCATTTACTGGTACTGCTGAAGGAGTCATGTTTTGCCATCCTAGCCTATATACATCCCCAGGCCTCATCTTGCATGCTATGCCCAGCTACTGGGGAAGAGAGCCTCTCAGCTCTAACTCCAATCAAACAGGTCTGAGATGGGTCGGCAGCAGCTGCTAAGCCCAGGGAAAATGTCTGCTGTCCTGATTGATTTTTCACTGCCACCTTGGCACAACTCAGCAGTTTCTTATCTATCTTAAGAGGCCTGTTCTTCATCAAAGCTTAGCTGTTTGTCAGAGGCTGTGTAAGGCTGATGCCTCCCAGATCTCATCTTTCTCTGTTTTGCAGCAGCACCTGCAAGACTTATTTGGGAGCTGTTATAAATTAAGGGCTTAGATAAACTTCAAACACACAGCATATTTAGAATAGTTCCACAGAAGGCTAAAACAATACAGCAGTTACAATCACTAGTTAAAAAGAGTAGGCTAATTTCATTACCCAGAGTTAAGGCATATAACTAAATACCACAAAAATAAACAGTAAGGAAAATACAGAGTAGCACACTTAATTAATAGAAGTAATAACATTCAGATCTGCAATTGCTAGGGAACCCTAGATGCAGCAAGAATGTAGAGAACCTTTCCTTACAAACTGGAAATCCTACGCGATGTGTCCATCCGTAGGTGAGGCATCCAAAGTCGCTGCAAACAGGTTCAGCCTCTAAATCAACAGGCCAAAATAACTGGCATATTTCTTAGAGCGGAAACATCTGATTCCATCCTCCTGTTGGGTTCCACCCCGAGACTGGCCAGCGCTCAAGGGGGCAAACCAAGGGAGTTTCTAGAAATGTTAAACACTTAAGCTCTTAATTCTTAATATTGCTAAACAAAGAAAGTTGAATACACACATTCTTACAGCATTTCATCCTTATTAATAACTACATTTCATCTGAACTACATCTTTCACTAGTGACTGGTAAGCCTAGATATCTCATTAAGGAGCTGCAACTACTGTTAGCATTTTCTCTTAAAAGAATTGGCAACTGTAGTGTAGTTTGTTCTGTTGCAGTAGCAAACATTACCCAGACATTCTGCTTAAAT